TTGTACAATGTTCAACTGATATTTAAAAATAAATCATTGACAAGGTATGTATTCATTTGAATTAACTTTATGTATATATATATATATATATAGTTCAAGGTCGAATGAAACTGACAAATAAAAATCGATAAAACTATATTTAATTGTTTATACAGATTCAAATATGAACTAGTGGAAGTTATTCAAATTTGGCTATAAACTTTCAACTATATTATTTATACATTATAAATAGTTGGATAAAATAGATTTCAATTATTTATGGTTGAAAAATCTGCAAAAGTATTGTTGTAAACAAAAATTCACTAAACCACAATTACACTAATTTGAAAATACTTTGACTAACTTGATATTGTTAAGTTGAGAATATAGTGGATTACCTGGAAAGATATTTATAACCGTAAATGGGATAAATTCGTCAGTTTGTTGATGTACTCATAGTAAAGTACATGATACTCATTGGATAGATTGGAGGTTTTCGACCCCTCAACCCTTCCATCTATTTTAACACATATAACCAAGTTACATCACTAGTCGTTAAACGGGTAACATTTGACTTGAAACCAAGTACACAAACGTTCACTTAACTAATAAGTAACTTGACTCCAAATACTTCCAACTTATCTACAGATAAATAAACATGCAATAAAATTTCCCAGATCGAGTTTATTAGATTTATATACTTGGCTAAATATTGAAAAGTTATATTAAATTCATCAGCTTCTGAATGTCATATGACAAATAAATACAACTAGATAACTGTTCCATTTGTATAATATGAACTTACTGAATGAAAAATTAATGTGACTTAAACTACTTCACTTCATTATAACATATATTAATAGGGTAGTGAAGTTTCAATACTAAGCACCAAAATAACTGAGAATTTATACCTATATTTTTCCACTCGTAAAGGTTATTTGTATAAGCCACTGAAAAAAAAATTCTAAAAGCCGATGAAATAATTATCCAATGTTTTTTGATTTTCACTAATTCTCTAGTTAATATCAGTAACTACCATCAATTTTCATGAAAGTTGAAAAAGCTATCAAGTAAATATATAAAGCAACTTATTAAACATTAATCACATGAAATGACAAAGAATGAAGACCTGTCCCTCAAGACTGATGAACATTCACCTCCAAATTAGGACAGTATTGTTTTTATGTATAGTAACTTTTTTAAATTCCAAACGATATGGTAACTATTATCCTCTTTATAAGATTATCTAATGTGTTTTGTTATGGGAATAATTCACAAACATTCTACTTCTTAATCGATAAATCGAACAAGTTATTCATTATATGAAGAGAGAAAACAAAATTTTTTCATCACTTCAAAGCATAACCTTAAATTCATTCGTCTCATTCAATTATATCATTACATGACCAAATTTTATTCGGTAAATTAGTTGCTATACAAAAAAGCAAAAGTAGTTTTCACATTTAATATGATCAGAGCAAATAATATACGTTCTGTACTAATATATTGTGTACGAGAATATGACTGAGAACAACCAAATGTATGTAAATACAAAATTACAGAATCTCTTAGTAACATCTGAAAACCATAGAGTAAATATTTCATTTGTAAAATGTCAATAAATTGTCTCAGACTTCATTGTTTCTTCGTTTCCATACCAATCATTCTTTGTTCTCGTTCTCTTCACATCGATCTTCTTACTTTCTACTGCTAAGAATTTCACTTTCAATTGGTGATACATACTAATTATATCTGTCGACATCAGTAACACACATCACATTAATAGTAATAAATATATCAAGATTTTTAATTATTTTTATTATTTAGCCCGATTTAAATAAATAGATAAACTTATATTGGGCATAAAAATGATTGTAAATCCTGTATAAACTTAAATTTCTTTTACTAAATGATAAACCATTATTACTGATATTAACTATTAATTATTATTCTGATACTAATCAGTATATGCCCACTAGTGACTACCTTCCTGGAGTTCTAGCGTGAAGCAGTGACCAATGGAGTTCAATTGGGTCAGTTGTGTGATAGTAACTCACTAAAGACAACGATAGGCGTGTCGCTCAATTTCGTGGATTAGTTGAAGTTTGACAATAACACCATTGGATGCCTGACGGCTCAGTGGTCTAATGGTTAAGCGCTCGCGCGCAAGACTGATAGGTCATGGGTTCGAATCTTGTCCCGAAATACGACAATAAGGCCGTCCAGTACTTCTAGGTTTGTTAGGATAAATACAAAAGTATAGAAAACTCAATTGTTTATAAGAAATTTTTACCGAACAATATATGTTTCTTTCATAAAATTAATTTTGACATTTTTATATCTCAGTAGTTGAAACCATGAGTCAATTGAAGCTAGACCACCATGGAAAACCTGGAAGTACTAGATGGCCATCTCATCCTTTTGTGGGACTTTTCAACTGTGTGCATCCACGAGATTCAAACCTAGGACCTATCAGTCTCTCGCGTGAACGCTTGACCTCTAGATCACTGAGCTGGCCGGCATCCAATGGTGTTAATATTTTTATATCGGTAGTAAATTAAATACAGCATGACATTATTTGTTAATAAAATTCACCTACTCAATTCATCTTAATTTTGGTAGAATATTTGAAATTTTCTTTGAGTAATTTAATATTTATCCCCCACATTTTCATTTAATATAAGTCATCCATTGTACAGTCATCAATAATAAACCCGATAATATTTGAAACGAATGACCGTTCTACTTATTTTAATTCAGTTTTCGTTTTGATATTTTTATTTTTCAAGTCATAAAAACTGATTACGTTAACAACTAAATAAATTTTCATTCATTCACCATTACACAGTAACTAAATACTTTTCATGCTTTATTGGAAATCAATACTGTTGAAATTATGGCTATGATTATGTTTATTTTATATCAGTTAACAGTATATATATTCGCATGCATGTGTTAGTATTTGTATTTATATCATAAAAAGTCGATAATAAAAGGCTAAATTGATTTTTACAGAAATGTATCTGTAACTCTATTGAACACAAATATACACATAAATTATATAATTATCAATGATTCTAAACAACTTCATGATCAGTACGATAATTTATGGACGACTTTTCAACTACGTTAAATTTACCTTGATAGCGTCCATTTGATAACTAGGACCAAATGAGGATTAGAAAGCAGAGTGGAGAATTAAAAATATGATTTATAGTTGACGGTTAAGGTTAGGAAGTAGATTTAAGATTTTCATCACGAACCAACATAAACTAAAATGCCAAAATGTTATTTAGCCAAATCGATGAATGAATTTCGCGCTAAAATCCAATACCTGTTATCTTATATCTGATTGGTTCGTCCATAAATTATAGTCACACCGATACCTTATTCAAGACTCAACAAATTTTCTAATAATATATCACTTTAATCCAAATACGTTAACCCTAAAAAAAGCCATTTTTTAACTTTTGATAAATTTACCTATTGTATGAATTTCAAGTATCGTTATGATAGTAATCATTTGTATTTTAAGTAATATTGATAATTTTCATGACGGACTGATCTTCGTGATTCCTTACGAGTGCGCATCCATGAATTCTACGTTAAATCAAGCTAGACATATAAACCATTAGTTGCAGCTCAGTGATCTAGACATTAAGCATTCACAGTGGGACCTAAAGGTCATTAGATCCATGGTAGGGTCGCCGGGGAATCCCATGCTAGAACGAAACAGGTTTCCAGTACTTTATGATCATTAAGAACTGCCTAAAATCACTCCATCATGAAGATTATAAAAATTCAACAGTACCCACAAACTACACACATCTTATGAATAACCATCAATGTCAACTGTTAATGTCATATATGAAATAAGGGTCCACTAAGGTTCAAAATTCATGAATATTGATTATATGCGACCACGGTATCAGTCAATTACGATTAAAAATACTCTACCACTAAAAGATTACGATTTTTTAAATGAAGAATGTTAAGAGTTAACATATTTTTATTGAGGATTTTCAGAAGAGTGTTTCATCAATGTTATCACTATAAAAATTGATCCCATCCATATGATCTATAGATAATTGAGTCCTCAAGTATGTGGCTAATCTTCGGAAAATTATACGGGGAAACAAGCACTAACGAACACATCTACGATAAGTGTGTAAAAATGATAGTAGTAAACAGTTCTAAACAACATTAACTGACGTAGCCGATTCAGGTTATATTTTATATCAGACACTCATCCGACCAATAAAATACTAGAAAGAACTGAATTATTATTTCTAAGGAAGGTGGCTTCTGTTTTAGGTTAATGAGTACGTCAGGATTTTGCTCATCTTCAAAAGGTCGAGTTTATCTTTTTTACTACATAATGTATTAAATAATTATAATTCACAATCCCAAAGTGTGTCAGAAAAAGACAGGACGATGTGTCAGCTTGTGATATATAGAATTGCAAAATCAGTATTGGTGTTCGTCATGAGACGAAAATCCTTAGAAATATACCTCCCTTTGAATGTGATCCAATTTAATTATTAGTCCGCTCATACTTCACGTTGTTATTTGTTTCATGTTTTAATACCAAAATCCTTGGCACTTGGCAGCATTACTGGTTTAACGACTTATACTGATTGGTCGTTGAATAGTAATCGATATAATGGTCACCTAGCCCTTAGTAGTATTCGAATTTAACCAAACAAGTTGCAGTTTACAGACTCAACATAATGTGCATTATGTTTTGACCTGAATGGATCGGAGGTAAAAGTTCCGTGACAAAGGCTGACGCGGATATACGGCACCAGTTTCTTCAGGTTTGCAGAAACATGGTAACGAGTTCCAACTAGTACTGGACCAAAGTACAGGGCCTCGATGCGGTTACCTGCAACCACCTAGCATCATGTTACTTGTACAAAACTCTCAAAGAATTGTTCCACTTTCTCGACGTAAAGTAAAGCAACTTAGGTCGCTTCATAACTTTACAATACTCAAATTCTAAATCAAAGAACAAGCGAGTTGGGACAATGAAAGTATGTATTGCATTGACTTCAAACTCAGTTATTCTCTATCTGTAAAGCGAAAATCAGAACTACGATTTTGGGATTTAAATATTCATCCTTGAATCATTACGACGCGAATTCATCTCAGTTTAAACAGTATGGTATTGTGAATAGCCTTTACATAACAAGTAGGCTTAAAGGTAAAAACTGCATGGTTTATAACACCGAAATAAATAGAGCTAATAAAAAAGTGACAATGTTTAATTTAGAGAAAGTTTTAGATTTAGCATATAAAACATTATCACATAAGATTTTATGTTTTCTATTGTCGGAAACAGTGAGAAACATCTAATTTCCTACTTTATTTTTCTTTAAAAAAGTACATTTTCTAAACATGAACTCATATTTCTTCTGTTACATACTGTTGTTGACCCAATTAAAATCAATCTAAAAATATTGAATGAACACATGTGCAACCTGAGTGCATAGGTCATCCTATATTTACACAAAAATCAAATACTATTAACAAAATTATTATATATTGATCATTAGATTAGAATCTTACTAGTAGTAATAATAATAATGACAATCATTAATTTCATCATGAGTATGACCAGATCCATAACACTTCACAGAAAACAAGCACATGGAGAGAAGGATTAGAAAAACAGGAAAAATGAAGATAAGTAGTAAGCTGTTAAGAACAAAATAGGGTAATAGGATACTATATATATATGGTAATTATTTTTTCAGAGATCACAGTTAGGCAGACATTATAGGTGGGGGGAGGAAATGATAAAGAATAAGCACGAAGATACCATGTGACAAGACAGAGAGAGAATCTAAAGTAAGTAATCGAAATACGCACCAACAGTGATACAGGATTATGGTAGAAACAAATGAAATAATATCAGGATAAATTAAGGGAAAATAAACAGATCTAAGAATAAAAGTATACAAATAAACGAACAAATATTCATATTAATTGATCAACCTTACAATTTCACCTGGAATTCAAATGATTGAGTAAATTTGTGCGCATGTAGTTGAATGTGGGAACAAACACAAAACTTCTCATTTCTGACTGGAAGTGAAAATAACACATTGTTTTCTATTGAAAAAATAATCATTTTCGATAACAAATCGCAAGAGACATACTACAAAATATTATTGGAACATTGGTGAAGAATAGTACAAAGAAGGGAAAATTAAGTAATGATAGTAATAAAATTAATGACTGAACATTGAAATAACGAAAAAACAAAACAATTGAAAACATTTTATTTACAACAGTATAAATTAAGATGTGCGCTGAAATAGGCATACATATATACATTCATTTAGATTGTAAAGGAATCGAAGGGAAGAGTGTAGTATATATATTCCAGATAAATAGCAGAGTGGATTAAAGAGATGTGTTTAAAGATTGACTGATTTGTCTACTCTACTCTAAATGAGAACGTAAAAACACAAAAACGGGAGATAAACTAAAATAACACAAACAAACAAATTAGTACACTTTTTAATGCAAGGGCCATTGAATAGTCCGAGGATTGAGAAGAAAAACATCCAAACTATGTCCATAAAACAAAAAGGAAAGTAGATTTTTCAATTTGTAAACATTTACATAAAAAAAGAGAGGAATTTGTCTAAATCGACAGAGAAAAGCAAACAAAGAATGATAGTTGGAAGTAAAATGCAGATGTTGGAAACAGGTGAACAATAAATTTCGATGTAAAATCTCCTAATACTAACCAGAAATAATGATAATAATATGCACATAGATGTAAAGAAATCAAGTGAAAACTGTAGCGCTTCTATTGTCAGTAATACTAAGATTTTCTGTACAAGTTAAATTGGATTGATTAGATGTTACTAAATTTGAATTAGGTTTATGTTCTGGGAAATTTGAATTATTCAATGTAGTATCTAATGATAATGTTGTATTTACATTATCGGTTAGTTTGTCTAAATCATTAATAATTTCTTTGATGGCATTCTCTGCGTCTTTTAATAAATTTGCATTATTTTTATTGTACTTACTTAGATTATTAGTATTATTATTACAAGTAGAATCGAGTTTTTTGGAACGTAATAAACTGCTAAATGTTTGTAAACATGCGAATCGATCACGAAAATTAAATTTTGCACGAGCTGAACATGTAGCCTGATCAATATATGCAGAACAACTAAGTCGACATGCTTCCATTTGATCTGCTAACTCAATTAACTGTTCTAAATTTGATGACGATGATGATGAAATGGCAGCGGACGATGGAGAGGAAATAATATTTCCAGGAATTTTTTTATCATTCATACGAATCAAACGTTCTAAGTCTCCTAAAATATTTGATAAATGCTTTTTCAAGTGGTGTTTTGTTGGTGGAACACAGTGATTATTACCATTAGTCTCGTCCAATGCTGTAGATGATGTAGAAAATATAGTAGGTAGATATAATCGTTGGGACCGCTTCTGATTACCAGCTGAATTATCATCAGTTGGACCAGTCCAACTTAAACGCTTTTGTATTATATCAGATAATTTATCAGAGATTTCATTTTCAGACCTTTTGAAATGAGGTTTTGGGGAATTGTTATCATTACTATTGATATTTGTGGGCAACTTGCTGGTCGTAGTGACAGTTGAATTAGAACTATTATCATTTTTGATCTGAGTCGATGCAAGTGATCGGATCAATTCTGAAGGACAACATGGAGGCTCCACTTTTCCACGTGTTGATGTTTGATTGTTATTGGATCCAGAAGTATTATTCGAGGATATCCGAGGTGGATTCGCAGAGTGTGGTGGTGGTCTTAATCGGGGGATAGTGAAGTAAGGGGAAGAATTAGAAACCGATGATTTTGAATCACTTTTTTCCTGATTACGCAGCACTGAATTCGTAACATTACTAGGTGAATTATTTAGTATAGATTTAGATGTAATCGGTTTCAGCTGAGATGAACTTTTAAGCTGTTGAGAATGCTTTTTTAATCTATCTCGTAATTCCTCTTGAAAGACAGATGATGAAACATTGGTAGGATGAACATTTTGCTTAGAAGAAACATTATTCCCTGGATAAGATTCATTAAGAAAATTAGAATCTATACTGCGCTTATTGTGGGAATGATCTACAACGGGATTAGTTTTGTTAGATAAATCCGAATTTACAGTGGTTTTCGATAAAGCTGGTGACTTTGAAGAAAGCTGAATATGTTTACCTGGTGTGGGAGGAGCAAGTGGTGATATTAGACGATCAGGACAAATTGATCTTGTCAGGCTGTTATCTAACGGAATGGGATCCACATATGAAAATTGACGAGAAGATGGGAAAATTGCTGTAAGATAGGAAAAATGATGTAAACAATCATAGTAAAATTACAATCTACTTAGAAGATAGTTTTGCAAGATGCTATAATTGATAAGTAATCCTCTCTAGAAGTGTATTTAGTTGAATAGTTAGTATTTTTCTGCTACTGTTTTAGTACAGAATACGAGGCAGTTTAGGGTATACAGGAAGACAAGTAATCTCATATTTTCATCGAATGTTATTAGAATCTCTCTTTATATAAGTCAGCTACTCTTATTACTTAGTATTCTTCGGATACTTCACTTCATCTGACTATTCCTCAAAATCAGAGGACGGTTGAACAGGAATGCGATCATACTCCCAAAAAACCAAGTTGAATGGGAGTAACAGTTTTAGTAAAAAAAAATGTTAGTAAATTTATGAATTATGTACAAAAATATTCTAGGCTAAAAATGGGCTAGTTAGAGTCCCCCAACATTAAACTGCATGGAACATGCACCTATCCAGAATATGGCTTGCTAACAACTCTTTATTTTTGACGAGTAAAAAAATTTTAATATATTTTTTGAGAAACAAAATCGTGAAGTCGGTCATTCGTTACAAAATGAGAGCAAACTGTTTTGCAAGGATTCAGGTCATCTTCATTAGTACAAAAATAAAAGTAACTTTTTTGGAGAAGAAATATACAGACATGTATCAAAAGACAATTACGTTGCATAGTAACTTATTTTGCACTACGTAGAGGGAATTGAAATATTCCTGCTGCCAGTTGACGAATTAGGAAGTTTAAAGTATTTTAGAAAGTTATTGGCGTATTTCCTGCGTAAAACAGAGCTAATAAGTTGGTGATGCCAAAGCTAGGGACATAATAATGAGTGGTAACCTGTACGTCGGACTGACGAACCTTTAAACCTATGTACACATTCATTATCCATCCTGAGCAACTGATTAACCCGAGGTAAAATAGTGTCTGATAGCTGTTTTATTCTATTTCGGAACTCCTAAACAATCTGAACACTCCCAATACTACATGAAATCTGATCGAAATCCTTCGGCTCTCGAACTGAGCATGATTGTTTCAAGCAATCAAGTCATCATTCATATTTCCAAACATACTAAAATCCCAATACGTAAATTTCGGAATATTTCTACATATTGATTACGTAAACCTAAAAATTTATTTTACGAAGTTTTTAAAAAAAAGCAATCATCATCACATAGAATAACAAACGTCACAAATTATAGCATAAATATGACTAGTAAATTGATAAAATAATATACATACCAGAACTACTCATAACTGATGGCACTGAAAATGGTGTTAAGTTCGAGTTATTTGGTAATGAACCATTATTAGGCTGTGGTGCTAGACGAGGATGTTGTTGTGATCGGGGTTGATGTATTTGATGATGACTAGAATCAAGATGAACTGGTGGGGGTGGCAGTGGTGGATGATCAAAGTCATCCAGATGGGAATTCGGGTAAACACAACTATTATCTTCTAATGAATTGAAATCAGTTAAGAAATTCAACGGCTTAACTGGTGTAGTACGTCTTGGTGGTCGCGGTGCAGTTCTTTTACGCCCAAGAGATCCTGAGTTTGTAAATGGTAGATCTTTTTCACAAGTACCAAACTCATCAGTACTTAAATCACCAATATGTAACTGTTTCGAAAGGGGATTCTTAAAACTCCTTGTAAATATACCTTTATGAGATTTGTGGTTAACATTATTGTTATTATTTATAGCATTTACTGGTATATCACTACCCAAATCGGATTTACAATCCTCTGAAAAAAGATATAAGATTAAACGAAATGATGACACAAGAATAAAAATATGTGTGAAAAATATTATGAATTTATGGTGCAACTTTTAATCAAACATAGTTCTGTGAATTTGACTATTTTAAGGTCTAATGGAAGACATTTTATATGGCTGTCCAAAACAAAGTTAATGGAATAGGGTTCAAAGTATTAATAAATTAGTAGAATAAGAATTTGAACTTTTGAAGGACTAAGGCATTGTTCTATTAACTGATAGTTTAAAAATTTGAAGTTCAGTTTAATAAACTAATGTCAGTTGAAAAACTAGGAGATTTTTAGTGAGGACTTTATGAAAATGCATGATAGCGTAGTCATTACACCATCGGAATTAAGAACTGTTATGATAGGTTTGTTTGACAAAACAGGGAAATTTCGACAGTAGTTTTTTTAATTTCTGTACTAAGTGATATTAGTCACACTTGCTTTAAACAATTAAACTCAGAATTTGCAAGCCATGACAAATAATAACTATCCCGCTGATTCTGTTGTTCAAAGCTGAATACAATCAAATAATTGTTCAAATCTATGATAAACAATACGTTACGTATTTTTATACAATCTATTTATTTGAAAGAGCGAAAAAAACTTCGCCGAACTTGATAGCACATCATAATTTCAAAAACGTTAGGATGAATGATTAAATTCCAGTAAAAACAGACAATTCAGAAATATTTACTGACCTATATACACACGAATACAACTACTAAGTGAACTTCTGCGTATCATCAGTTACAGTCTCTACAAATGCGTGTCAAAATTCATGTCTGTTGTCACATTTTATATCGACAAAACGAAAGAAGAGATAAAAGATGTGAAACAAAGACAACAAGATAAATAATAGTAATGAGAAACGAGGAAAAAAAGTTGAAAGGAACAAATGAGAGTACTTTTGGAAAGTCAATTACTACGAATTGTGATAGTAGGTAAATGTTTATTATTTTTAACTGACCATCTGAATATATTTGCGTTCAGCATGGAAAACTATCTCCAAAGAGAAACGAATTCAAGTATATGAGAAACGAACACAATTATTCATTCTAGTCGTAAATTAATCAGAAATCATTATAGTAGAATTGGTCAGTAGAACTTCTAAAGAATACTGACTACTGTACTAATAACCGATAATAACAACTAGACTAAATCGTCGCAGTTCCATATAAATTAACAACTGAATGGAAAGTTGTTAATGAATTAAAGAGATAATTGTGATATATCAATAAAAGTTGAATTTTGAATTTCTAACGTTTACTGGTTTAGTTTCAGACACTTCTTCAGCGTAGATACATAAATAACTGAACCAAAATTAATACCAACTTAAATAGTGCGAAGGAAACTCAGCAGAATATTTTTAATACAATGAAAATCAAAATGGTTTCGAACATTGCAATGTTATGCTGTGCAAGGTGACTTATGTGGGATAATAGAATATTTCTACTTATTAAGATATCATAAAATTATCCTTTAATGTTTTATGCTAATCCTAGTTGTAGAAAGATTAAATATAAAATATAACCTCAACTACCCCCAAATATCCTGGTACGGTCGAGAATGGAGAGAGTCGGCTCTAATCAAAATACTCTCACATGGCCACGCGTATACAGCCACTACTAGGGAAGTCATAATCACCCATATCTCGTGCAGCGAATGTTTGTTTTACAAAAGTGAGAGGACGAAAATCGAATGTCCAGAGAATGGCAAAGTGTGGCACATATATATTCGGTGCCTATTTGTACTTATATATATATATATATATATATATATATATATATATATATAACTAATTATATTTGAATGAATACTATTTTCTTTAAAAGATAGTTATTATTTGAATGATTCATTAAAGTTTATAGTAAATTACAACATAAAAATAGAATTTATCAGATTATGTATTTATTCAACTGTTTGCTGAAGTATATAAATGTGTATCTATAAATTTACTTGCTCATGTGGGGCATGTTACATAGGCCGCACAAAGCGATCATTATCCAAACGCATCTCGGAACATTATTCGGCTTGGCTTTTGAAAGGGGAGCGAAAAACAATCACGAGTTCTATACAGGAGCACTTAATCAACTGTGGACATATCGCTCCAAAAGACTCTTCGTTTAAAATAGTTTACAGAGTCAAAGGAACTGGATCGAAGGGGGTTCGAATCAATACTTTATGCACCGCAGAGGCATTGGCAATCCACAAACTAAAGCCTGAACTTTGCGTGCAGAAACGATTTGTCCAACCTCTTATCCTTCCTTGGCCTTAATGGGTATGTTTCTAGGTTGTTTTTTTTTTAATGCACTTTTATTATTATCCATATTTTAAATTATTTTGCACTTTAAACTCTAATCATTTATTATTATTACCTTTTACAAGTTTTCTTGATTATCATTCAGTTCATTATTATGACCTTTGTTGTTTTATTCGTTTCTCTTCATATCTGTCAATTGGACTATTATCTGACCCTTAAATTTTGTTCTTCCTTACCCCTTGATTAGTACGTTAACCTCATTTGTTATTTATTGTCGAATCCATTTTTTGTGATACAATCCTTTCTATCCTTCTATAGACATACATTTTCCATATAACTATATATACGAATGTACAGCTTAAGTAAATGATTTCGTCGAAAAGAAAATTTTCTTCGCTGAATTCTCTTTTTCTTATATAAATAAACTTAAAGAAGTAACAAAACCACTTTACTTTATTCAGAAATTATGAGATAAAAATGACTTCGTAGAATAGTAGTTAATAAATAAACCATTTTATGACAGTATATTATCAATGACATAAAGTTTAAAAGAATAAATAACGAAAGTTTCTTCTTACAGAAAAAGAACTTAACAAACTATACATCTTTGTAATGTGTTAACAGGGTGAGCGGAGAAGAACTTATCCAAAAGAAATTTGAATCTCAAAGAAGTCTGAAGGAGTAAGATATAGTGTAATTAAGAGATAATATAGCCTAAACTTGTCAAAAAAATTGTGATGGGCAATTTTATTAAGTAATTCTTACATAAAATTGTGTAATTCACAACGAAGTTAACAACTTTTAGTGAATCGATAATACTCAGAAATAATGGCAGAATAATTCATTAAAATCAATCAGAATAAACCTTCAGTAGCTTGAACACTAACAATCACATAGCACCATTTGTTATTTCTCATAATGTTATACGATCCGAATAACAAAATCTAACTCACGTATCAGAGCTCAATTAAGATCACCTAAACTGAGAATCTGTCACAAAACAATAACAGCAATGCAAACAGAAGTAACCTATTCGCCCAACAGTACAGAATTATGTAATTAAGTTTCGGTCAATCTTTAGACGTGAGGGTTAGTGACACTAAATTGAAGTAGGACTTGGAACGTGTGAAAAAAAGACTGAAACCAGAATACTTTAAACAAAATCAAATTAAGAAACCGTTCCAAATTGCATGTAACATTCAAAGAATAACAAAACTTTAACTAACCTTTAATCATATCAAATTGATTATCATCATTCTCATCAATTAAATAATCGCAACTGGTGCTTCTTCTTGGTGGGGGTGGTCTAGGAGGCAGTGGCGGTCGGGGATACGCAATATTAGGTGGATGTTTAGTGGATCTGTTTGGCTCGCTAGAGTTAGTCACCTTTATTTCATTGTTATTTAATAATAACGATGATGACGATGTAGTAGAAGTTATATCAAAATCGATTTGTTCTTCTTCTTCCATTGTAGAATTAGTTGGCATAGATTCCAATTGACTTAATATATCAGAAAATGGTGGGCGTTGTTCTGGAAGCCATTGCCAACCTGAAAAAAAGAGGTAAATATTAGTAGGAGGAGAACAATACATCGAGGCTATCTGCACAGGATGTACATATGTCAAAAAGAGAATGATCTGTTACAGTACCAAACATCAATGGGAATGTTAGATAATGTGAAATGTTTACATGCTAAAATAAACTTATTTCAGAGAACAGAAATTAAGTGATTCATTAGTTTGACACAAAAAGAGTCTTAATAGGAACCATACATTTAATGAACTCTATACTTAGTTCTATGAATGTAAAGAGTAAACAAAAAAATATTATACAACATAAACTTAGATTGTTGTGCAAAAAGGTACAATTAATAAATCGTGTGTAGTATTATCATGATGAAACTAATTCTCACAATATATTATGTAAGAATAAACTATAATACAGATAAACAATGAACTATCTGATACATTATTCAATATCAGTCAGTCAAAACGAAATGAGTATCGAGCTAACTTGGGACATGTGATATCATAATCATCACAAAGATAAATGATGGTGAATATAAATAGAAGTTGATATAATGGTAATACTATCTAAATCTGGTACAAAAGAGAATAAAAGAATTATAAATCGAAGAAAGAATGAGTGAAATTCGAGAGTGAAAAGTGTGAATTAATACGTACTTAGAAATTTCAACAAAGATACATTTACAGCAAATCAAACTGAATAAACGACTATTTTCATTATCCAAATCATCTTAGGATTAAAACCTGTGGTGATTGTGAAACCAGACAAAAATGCTGTCAAATGGTTCGAGGTAGTCAGAGAGAAGCCCTGGAATTATGTTTCGTGTTGGTTGGCATTTACAATCTTGCCGAGGTTCAGTCTGAGACGTTACCACAAAGCTATTCCGGCAAAACAAAAATGATACTAATCATTACTCAGTGATCGATCGACTCTAATGTAGGCCCCACATGGTTTCTTATTAGGAAGGTTATGAACAATTAATAAATTACGTATGGTACAATAACAAGTATTTAACTTTAATACCTTCAAAAGATTAAGTAGTGATAATTGAATGAATAGCTAAGCGAATAGCAGGATTCCTGATAAGTTATTTTATGATCTATCAGATATTTAAACTCATTTGTCTGTTAATTAAACACAAATTATGTTACAGTATTACAATGAGTTTAAAAGTTGATAAATCCTTTAAAAACCACTAAATTATCACCTATTAAACGTATTGACTAACTATATCAATGCCCTTATGATGATTTGCAGATTTATATTTTTATTCTACATTCATTTACTGTTAATTCTCAAAACAAACAAAATATTTTTAAAACAAAATGAATACAATACGAAAAAAGAAAGAAATTTATGCAGTCACTCTTTAAAACTATATTTTATTCTGAAGTGGTTTGATGTTCAAGTTTATGTACACTGACAATTTGCTTATGTGAAATTCAACGACAACATTCTAAGGTATCTGGATCGAAGTAAATAAAGTAGGTTTGAGATTGTAACTTACTGAGGTCGAAAGCATCAACCAATGAATTATCAGCACCATATATACTTATTTATTTCCATAATTACCCTTAAGTGGTAACAGTCAAATTATTACAAGTAAATAATATCTATGTCTCGAGGGTAAGAAGCCAACAAACTAATAATAAGCGAAAACAAAATAATAGTAAGGGCTTGATGCGTTACCCAAGTAACCTAATTTTTATCAAACAGAATTGATCGAGTGAAGCTAAGAATAAAACGTAGACAATTCAATGATCGCATCAAAGCATTAAAAATAAACTATGAAAACTGAACAAAATACATTTAGAGAGGGAGAGAGAGATAATGGAAAATATTAGAAAAGCTAATTATTTAGTAGAAGGATGAATATACAAAGAGAACCACTATTCATTCACACACATATGACATTTGTTTGTTTGTTTTTCCTTAAAATAACAAAGAAATGATACTAGTAGTAACGGTTAGAAGATACAATATTTCTCCTTATCTCCACTTGGACAGAGAAAACATAAAAACAGGGAAATAAAGATGAAAGTATTTGTTGAAAAGCAAATGACAGCGAATAAAAATGTGTACCTAAAACAAGGCTAATAGTTGAATAAATGTGTCTAATAATAATTATAATGGTAATAATAAGGCAAATGTGAAATTCCTCAGACATATGAATCATTCAGTGAAACAGAGAAATTATAACCAGCTTAGTGATCAATGAATAGTTATTTTCAGCCGACAATAAGTAGCAAACACTTTTATTTATCATCAGATTTAACCTATTAGTATTGTTCTAGTAAATATACATGAATCTATCTAACATGAAAATAATTCATTTTATTCATAGAAGCCGAAATCTGCCTACTACCGAAGACAATCATTGGTTATTAGATATTATAGATAAATAATAATAATAATTTTCCAGGCACAGGCGTATGTGCTTGGTTTTGAATAGTGCATTTTGTGTGATGGCTAATGGTAAAATCAGCCTGTTTAAGGTGGGTTCGAACACAAAGTTCATTTGTAGTATGAAGAGAAAGGTTGGTTGTTGACAAGACAAAACAACTCTGTATGTATTAGTTGTTAATCAATAGTGGAGAGGGTAGAAAAAATAAACACTAAGTAGCTAATTACTATAACTTATAGTTTTGCGCAAACACCAGGTAGGATGAAAACTAGATTTGTTGTACCTTTAATAAGTTGACAAATTAATCCCAACCAAATACGATTCCCACATGAACTTATTAACCATTAAACACAAAAAATAACTAGTAGAAATGTACCATGACAAAATGCTCAAAAAGACTTCATTCAAGTCAACTTGATGCCCTGTGTTTTTTAAATATGTTAATATAGAACTGTTAGTCGTCTTTAGTTGTCGTTTTCTAAATAATGAAGGATCATGTTCAGAAAGCCAAAGATCAACTCGACTAATTGTATTCGATGTAATTAGTTGTACAACTAAAAATAAACACTTAAATACATATAGAAGAGACGTCTTTATTTTTAAATGTTCAGACCAGCGGATTGAAAAAACGTTTGTCGAAAATATGCAGACATGACTTGCCTTACTAACCTGGCCAAGACAAAATCAATTTTTCATATCATGCAATAAAGAAGCAGCTAGCAAATTCTACACGCATTTGACAAAAAAATCGTTAAGCATAATCTAAAAGATTACTTTTAAAGTATGTTGATTAGAAAGATGGCAGTCGAAAATAAATTCATGATGGCATTAGATCTGTCATATCTATTTACTAACGTCTCTGTATTAGGAACAATTGAAAATCTATGCAGTGAGCGTACTGAGCAACGCAAAGGAACTGGGACTCCGATCTCTACATCAAAATAGGTGCACGATGAATGTGCAGTTCTGATTCAGTAAATTCTACAGATAGTCGAATGAATGAACGGGTATTATTGAGTTTATCATTATATTAATTTATATTACCATGTCACTCATAAATATTATGGAAATATCGTCTATGCAACGACTATAAACTGCTAGCTGATCTTCTACATTTTAGAGAGGTCTATTGTCCCACTAAGCTCGAAAAATATCTGCTAAAAGTGATCCCCATAGTAATCACACAGTTACATGAAAAATGACTTAGTGTAAGGACCGTATAATTAAGAAATAATCAAAGCAAGAAATATCGTTAATCTAGCAGACTGAAAACAGTCTACACTATTTATTTGTCAAAACAAACATCGGTACAAGGAGGCACCAAATACATACGCGCCACACAAATCGAACGATTTGTGTGAGAACTGGAATACTATCCTACACTATTTAAATCACATAACAGTGATGTTAATGAGATAGAAATGAATAAAAAGCTTTGTGTGTACCGTACATCAAAAGATAGATAATGCAAGCAAAGAAAACATAATTATCCAAGTTACATAATCGAAAATAACTTAATTAATTGGGGGAACAATCAATAAAACGTACATTGTAACATAAGTTCATAAACTGGTTCAGGGCAACCTTCAGGACAAAGCATTCGTGTACCTCTTTCTAATAAAACATAAACATCTTGTAATTCAACACCTGGATATGGTGTTTTTCCATAGGTGGCAATTTCCCATAACAATATACCAAATGCCCATACATCTGATTTAGTTGAAAACAGATTATAGACTAAACCTTCTGGTGCTGTCCATTTTATAGGAAATTTAGCGCCTTCATGAGCTCGATAAGTAAGATCACGTTCTATACAACGAGCTAAACCAAAATCTGCCACTTTAATGGTATGTTGTGTGCCAACTAGACAATTGCGGGCTGCTAAATCACTATACAGTGAAGAAAAACATTGCAATAAAAAGAAAACGATTTGTTAGGGTACAACAGATAGCATTCAAAATAATGAATTCATGTACTCAACAAAAATTAAACTAGATAATCATTTCATCATCGAATTAGATTTAAGTCCAACTACGCGTTTGTCAAGTGTGTTTAAAATAACAAGCTTCCAGGAAAACGCATAAACAGAGAATGATCAATAATAAAAATTTGATCTTAAATTTATTTATCTAACAGTTAAATTCATTCTACATAACATTATTGATTCGAGTCATGATAAACTGTTTATATGACGAACAGTAAGGTTTCTCAACACGAAGGATTGTTTGCATTGAAACAATGGTCATTTTCTCCAAGACAAACAATTTATCATATTGATTATACGTGAATTGAACGATTAATTACTGGACGCTAATTATAAATATTTTGCGAACATTTCCAAAACATCTATTAAATGATAATTGTGTTTTTTGTATATAAAACATTATTTCTTCCTTTAAGAGTGTCTCTTCGCACTGTGTATTTATTTATCTGAACATATGAATATCGATACAAGAGAGCACCAAATATACATGCACCACACAAAACAATGATAATGGGAAGAGAAAAAAGAAGGTAAAGTGAGTATAAGAAAAAAAAGAAAAGAGTAGTGTACGGTAGTGCAATAATAATAATAATAATAATAATAATAATAATAATAATAATAATGGGGGAAACAGAAAGGTACAAACAGAAAAATTCTTTCACTTAAGGAAGATACAACCACTTTTTATGAAAAAAGTAAACGAAGGTTACAGCAGGATCGCCACTGGCTTCTATTCTGATCCATTCCTGATAACGTCTCTACCCACTGTGTCGCACCATCTCTCGGACCCCAGCCACGGAGTCGTGAAGGACCAACACAAGCCAGTCCCGTGCAGCTTCCTTTCATACCACGACACCATTTCATACACTGACTACCTCTCCGCTTCTTCCAACTAGTCCCAGAGTCGCCAAATAATGCACGACGTGGAATTCTCTGGGACAACATTCGTAGAACATGACCAAGCCACCGAAGTCGATGTTTCAAGATGGTGACACCAATCGGATTATCATCTCTGTGCCCGAACACGCGATGCCGAACCTCTGCATTACTGACATGATGTTGCCACTGAATGTTAGCAATCCTTCGGAGACAGCGGTGATCGAACACAGAGAGTCGTCCTCAACTCGGAGAGGCCAGGTTTCACAAGCATACAGCAGAACTGCTCTCACCGACGCGTTGTAGATCCAACCTTTTACAGACAGACTGACATCACGAAGGCGCCAAACATGGCCCACATTGGCATAAGCCGCTCTGGCTTTCACTATACGTGCATTGATCTCATCGCTCACGCCACAACCAGCACTTATGCAGCTACCCAGATACACGAACTTCTCGACTACTTTTATCTGCTCAACATCCAGGGTGAGTACAGGATTAGAATCCTCCCAGTCTTGTAGAAGTACTTTGCACTTCGGAGATGCAAAGCACATACCATACCTACGGACACTAATTAGCAAGTGATTAAGTGCGGATTGCATGGCTTGGGCATTATCCCACAGTAAGAAAATATCATCCGCATACTCAAGGTCGAGAAGTCTTTCTCCAGGCAACAGATTTACACTGCCATTACTTACATCCATCAGGGCTGTTTCCAGAATGTCATCGATGGCAAAATTGAACAGGAATGGTGAGATTGGACAATTCTGTCTAACCCCACTGCTTGAATGGAACAATAGAGAAAGTTGGTTGTATGCCCCCGATCTACCTGAGGTGTTTGTATATAGGGCTTTTAGGATGTTAATAAGCTTCTCAGGCACACCCTTCTTCAATAGACAATCCCAGAGAACAGTCCTGTCCAACGAATCGAAGGCAGCCCTGATGTCAAGAAACAATGGGATTGTTGACCTTTGATAAGTATGACGGTGTTCTAACATTTACCCCCTGAATGCCCTGGTACGGCCGAGAGTGGGGAGGGTCCGCTCTCCCTCTCGAAATACTCTCACACGGCCACGCGTATACAGCCTCTGCCAGGGAAGTCCTACTCATTGCCTTCTCGTGGCGGGGGTGTTGTTTACGAAAATGAGAGGACGAAAAGCGAATGTCCGGCGCTTTAACCGGATTCCAAATCAATGGTGCACATGGGCTCCAGTATCCTGCGGGAACGAATGGCGTATGAACCAATCGTTGGTCACCGGCTACCATGGGACTGCATCTCCTTACGATGCTCCACTGCCTTGTGGGTTAGACCTTTAGGTCAAAGGCTCGGGGAGTGGCCCCCTAAGATAACCACCTGCTTCGGTTTGGGCACCCGGGCAGTATCACAGCCCACACACAAATGATGAACTCTTTATGTCTATGGAAATTACTTTTGTCGCTTTGAAAAACAAACAATTGATTCAGATTATTATCATTACAATTATTGCCATTATTAATACTAATATTATTATTACTACTATTATTGTCATTATTGTTATTATTATCATTATTATTATTATTTTCCACATTATTCACCTTCTTTTATACTTATACAGCGGCTCGTCTTTGGTGGAATTCCGACTGTATCTAAACGTTCTCGAGTCACTGTCCGGTTGAAAATTGTATGTTACCACCGAATACGAGAACTGAAGCAGATTTTCTGAAACCACGTGCACCATTCAAACTGGCTGCCTTCAACGTTCGCACATTTATGCAGGTCGGACAACAGATAGGGCTGGCTATGTCTTTGGAAAGTCTTCATATCGATGTCTGCTGTCTATCCGAGACCCGTATTCAAGACTCTGGCGAAGTACTACAAATTCGATCTCCATCTGTCGCTTCGAAAAGCTTGTTTTACGTGCGCTTATCTGGGGACCCTGTGGCATCTTCGTCTGGTCTTGCTGGCGTTGGTGTCGCACTAAGCGCTAGAGCTGAGGCAGCACTAGTCGATTGGATCCCCATTAACAGTCGGTTATGTGCTGTTAGATTAGAAAGTTCCATCAAAGTGAGAAGAAATCGGCGTGAGAAACGATGTCTTTTCGTCATCTCCGCCTATGCCCCGACAGATTGCAGCCCGGATGCAATCAAGGATGAGTTTTACCACCAGTTATCAGTTCTTCTCCAGAAAGTGCGTTCGACAGATATTGTAGTACTAGCCGGAGACTTGAATGCTCAGGTCGGGTGTCTAGGCACAGAAGAGAGTCGTTTAGGTGGCCGATGGGGACTTGTTGGTCGCAGGTCAGATAACGGGGACCGTCTACTGCAACTTTGCACAGACCACAACCTGTTTCTGGCTAGCACTAACTTTCGGCACAGTCATCGCCGATGTGCCACCTGGCGTCCTCCCTCTGCATCTCAAGCCTGGACTCAGATTGATCACATCGCGATCAGCTACCGCTGGCGTGGTTGTGTACAAGACTGCCGCTCCTTTTGGAGTACCTATCTGGACTCTGACCATGCCTTGGTCTGCGCCAATCTTGCCTTACTTTTCAGTGGACAACGAATTGAACGCCATCAACGGATTGATGTTAGCAAGCTGGTTGCAACTTCTGTTGCAAGTAAGTATCGAACCGAGCTAGCCTCTAGGCTAGCTACCACTCCACCGAAAAGTATAGATGAGCATTGGTTGCAATTGCATGACGCCATGAAAATGGCGGGAACAGTCAGTTGTGGGTTTGCGAAACGTCCCGCTTTTAAGCACTGGGTTTCTTCTGGTTCCTTACAACTCATTGAAGCCCGTCGGTCTACTCCGGGTAACCGTGAGTTTGACCATAAACGAAGGATGTTACGTAAGGAAATCGGGCAAAGCTTGCGTAAGGACCGAGAAGCCTGGTGGTCGATGCGTGCTAATGAGCTGGAAGCAGCAGCTGCATCTGGTAACTACCGGAAGCTCTTCCAACTCATCCGAGCCACTGGCAGCAAGAAGTCTGGTGTGAGTGAAACAATCTGCGAGGATGATGGGATGCCAATCACTAACATCCATCGACGTCTTGGACGATGGGCAGAATTTTTCGAAGGGCAGTTCAACTGGCCTGCTGCTCCGGCAACATCGGTCAGACTGTCCTGCCCTCCATGGCCGGTGACGACTGATCCACCAAATGAGGAGGAAGTCCGCAAGGAACTCCAACTCTTGAAGCGTTACAAATCACCTGGCCCAGATGACTTACCTCCGGCTCTTTTTAAAGATGGTGGTGACTTTTTGACTAAGGAATTGACGACGTTGTTTACAAAGGTTTGGGTGTTAGAGAGTGTTCCAACGTCATGGAATGAGTCGATAGTTGTCCCTATCTTTAAAAAGGGTTCACGTCGTTCCTGTAACAACTATCGGGGGATAAGTTTACTCCCGATTGCGTCCAAGCTATTGGCTTCCGTCATTCTTCGTAGGTTGTTCAAAACCCGAGAAAGATTGACTCGCGAGGAGCAGGCTGGGTTTCGTTCTGGTCGAGGATGTATTGATCATATCTTCACCCTCCGCCAAATGTTAGAACACCGCCATACTTTTCAAAGGCCAACAATCGTAGTGTTTCTTGACATCAGGGCTGCCTTCGATTCGTTGGATAGGACTGTTCTCTGGGATTGTCTATTGAAGAAGGGTGTGCCTGAGAAGTTTATTAACATCCTAAAAGCCCTATATAAAAACACCTCAGGCAGAGTGAGGGCATACAACCACCTCTCTCCATTGTTCCATTCGAGCAGTGGGGTTAGGCAGGGTTGCCCAATCTCACCATTCCTCTTCAACTTTGCCATCGATGACATTCTGGAAACAGCTCTGATGAATGTAAGTAATGGTGGTGTGGATCTGTTGCCTGGAGAAAGACTTCTCGACCTTGAGTATGCGGACGATATTGTCTTACTGTGCGATAATGCCCAAGGCATGCAATCCGCACTTAATCAGTTGGCAATCAATGTCCGTAGGTATGGTATGTGCTTTGCACCTTCGAAGTGCAAAGTACTTCTACAAGACTGGCAGGATTCTAATCCTGTACTCAC